GTAGTGGAGGGGGGGGGGGGCAATCCATGAATAATTTGCACTACTGTTTTTGGAATTTTCCTCTGTATTAGAAGGTGCAGTACTTCAGTTACATCCTTTTTGGTCCCAGAGATCGTGATGTCATCAATGTAGTGAAACACAACAACTTTCAAATTCAGAGTCCTCAACTCTCGGGGAGTCAGTCCATGATAAATCATTAGTGAATGAAGGTATCCCTGAGGAGGCATGGTGAAAGTGTACTGGTGGCCATTCTAAACAAAGACAAACTGGTCTTGAAACCCCAAGTCTATTGGGATTGAAAAGAAAGCATTAGCCAAGTCTATCATAGCATGAAATTCTCCTGCATCTTTTGCTATTTACTCAGTAACGGACATCAGAGAAGGTACAGCTGATTTCAATGGAGGAGTCACTTTGTTTAGACCTTTGTAATCCACAGTCATTCTGTAGGTCCCATTTGTTCTTTTTACTGAGAACACCGGAGCTGAGAAAGGGCTTACAGCAGGTCTAAGGTTCCCTGTTCTCATCAGTTTTTGAATAGTCTCCCCAATTTCCGTGTGGCCTGCTGTACTGCTGTAGACAGACTGGCTTCTCTGATGGAGGAATGTAGACAGGGGTCCATTTTGCATGACCTCTGACCACCACCCTTACCAGATACGCTTTGTGCGGATACCCAAATTTGAATTTACCCTGTTCAGTTGGGATTGACTGACCTTGAAGAACATCAATACTAAGAATATTTTCAGGCAATTCTGATACTAAAACATTTGTCTCAAATCCTGGTCCCTTACCAATAGCCATTTTCACCCGTGTCCTAATTGCTGGTGTGGTCTGCCCTCAGAAACTTTCTACATAAACCATTTCTCATTTGTGATGGCGTAGTTTCCGTGTAAAAGTGTGACATCAGCTCCAGTATCTACGAAAGCCATTACATGTTTCGGAAAAGAAGACTTCCCCCACCATATAGTGATAGGTGCATATTGGCATCCGTCTCCAGTTGTCACTCTTCTTACTACTGTCACCTTCCCTTAACAAAGAATAAGGAACCTCCCAGTTCCCCTTTCTAAACCTCCAACTCCTCATCAGGGTAAAGGAATTTAAGTTTGGGTTCTTGTTCAGTTTTGGGAATCAGTTTAGGACTAATGGGAGGGGTCTGTCCTTTCTCATCTCCTTCTCAGCGAAAGGTAGGCTAATGTTGTCATTAATGATGGTGTTTCTAACCCTGACAGTTTTCTCCACTAACTGTTTCCACATCTCCTGCCTTTAATAGGACCACCCACATTTGCCTTCTAGAGATAACTATTCTTGTTTTCTCTGTAGCCCCCATATTCCCTCCTGCTTTGTCATTCTTCTGTGTCTTTTTCTGCTTATTTGCCCCCTTTCTGAGTTCAACCTGATCTACTGCACCGACAGGTTTTGTTTTAGCTTCCTCCAGCTCCCCCAAATGGTTTAATAGTGTAGTGCCGTCATGGATCTTGTTGTTTAGTCCCAGTCTTCCCAGCAAGGACAATAAAGAGCCCTAAGATTAAATGTTGCAAACTTCATCGGCTTGGAGCACAGAGGAGACATGAATGGGCCCATATCCGGACCCATATATTCCGGCATCTTAGTCCTGTTATACAACCTCTCCTTACGTAACCCAGCAATACCCTCTCCCATTGTTCTCCACTAGGAGGTATTTTCCAGGTCACTAGGGCTAGTGTATACTCAGGATCATCTCATCTCTCACGAGGTCTAACAGTAAAAAATTCACAGTAAACTCTCGGACTTTGCACATGGTCTGGCACAATTGAGGATCATAGGTTAACACCCCCCATAGTTACTGCTTCTTTGCCTGACAAAAGAACACTGTCTGTCCCCTCATTCCACTAATGTAGGAGCCAACATAATAGGGGTTCCCTGGACTTCTGCTTCATGTCATTTCCTATGTTTAGTAATATGAGGTTGGGGATACTTTTTCTTTCCTACTGGATTACCATCATCATCAGTAATATCAAATGCTATTTCCTCATCCTCACTATCACCTGAGAAGAGTACAGTACATGCAGCATTTTTGCATAGCACAAGAAATAGAAAATACTAAGAAAAACTGTTTCATTTGGGTTTAGTACAAATCTGTAACAGCTGTTAGTTTATCTGATTCGTGTAGTAAAGTCAAGGAAGCTGACCCAGTAGTATTTAATGTACTTTTACTATACAACAAATGCTACTTACACAAAAATACTTTGTTATAGGTAAAGTGATAGATAAACATACAGGCTGCTAATACATACATACACATGCATACCCTACTCTAGCACTTGCAATGGTTTCTAAAGGGGATACACAAACAAAGTAATTTAGCTTCGGTTATTGCTGGTTTAAAAATGCCACAGGACTTCATGGCGATTAAGCGTTTTCAGGAAAATGGTTTCTTGTTGTGGCTTAGTGTTATCTGATGGCTTCTACCTATCTATCTTTATCCTAAATGCTAGTATTCACTCACATGAGGAATCCATGATTAGTCCAGACAACACAATCATATCTTTCTTACAACAGTGATTGAATGGTTACTGAAGTATCTTTGAAGCTGATAAACAGTGACCATAATTTTATGTTCACTACCATTCTGTCTTCCAGAGTCAACACCGGCCCAAAGCACCATCTGATTGTACATCCAGTTGCCCTTTTACACATCAAACATCGCATATTAAAGTGGCCTATGCTCAGAGAGACAACACTGATTATGCCAATCACTAACTACTTTTTTTTTCTAACCTTTTTTTCAAATATTTTATTTATTTTTTATAAACTTTTTCAAATGTTTTATTTATATATTTTTATGAAATACTTTTATTTTCTTACTTTACTGTTGGGTGCTTCGGTGAAATATCAGGGGTCTAAACAGACCCCTGACATTTCCCTTTTTAAAAAGAAAAAGAGATTGAACGTTCTGTGTGCTCAATCTCTTTTTCTGCAGCCCCTGTTATAATTGAACAGGAAGCCTCTATACCGAATGTAGCTGTTCATTTATAACTTGTGGCGATAGTATGTTTACCATGTCCACAATCATGAATGAACAGGAAGTGATGTAGATCATTGCCCATTCATTCATAATTGAGGACACAGTAAACATACTATGTCCGCAATTATTTACAAACACTCAGCGATCACTTATTGCTGAGTGTTTGTACCCGCTCTCCATCCTGGATCGGCTGTCACAGGAGGCTGAGCGGGCGGTGCGGGGGAAGGAGTCAACTGTCAGATCGAGATATCCTCCCCGCACTGCTCGGACAGCTTACTCCGGCCCCACACTGCTCTCCTGATCTGTAACAGGAGGCTGAGCGGGGCGGGAGGAGAGCCCTGCCTCTTGTGACATGCTGGCCGCTCTCCTCCATCGCACTGCTCGGCCTCCTGTGATAGTTTCTCTCATCCCTGCTGGACGCTGTGATGTGTCAGAGGAGACACAGAGCAGCGCCCAGCGTGGAGAAGAGAAACCAGGCATGCACTGCAATTTCGGCCGAAAGATGGCACTTTCAGCATTTTGCCAAATACAATAGACTACACACCTTTGTGGATTTTTCATGGTGGGTGCAAGCCATATTCTGAGTGGAAACTTTGCTGGAAATTTCTATCCCATTGCAACTTTACATTGTGTTAGTAGGCCCAGGTAGTGGCAGCACACATACAGTAGGTCACACTATTAGTTCTTACTAGGGATGCACAGATACTTTTCGAGTACCAGTGCAGATACTTGGCATTTTCATGAGAACTACCAGGGTTGCAGCGATTGCAGCTGGGACCGGGCTCTGGCGCTCCACCTCTGTCCTGAAATCATTAGTCTGTATTGTTTTAGAAAAATTGTCACATGACAATAAACAAAAATGTATCAGTACTCGTACTTGTAAGTACTCGGCAAGTACCAGTACTCGCTAAACTGGTATCTGTGCATCCCTTTATTTATAAAAACGAAATCATACATTAAAACAGAGATGTACAAATCCTGGGAGCTCCTCGTGCTCCTTACAAATGACAGCGGGCTCCTAATTTTTGAATTTTTCGCTAGTGTAGTCTTGGAGCTCAAAAGTATCGGTACATGTACTCGTACTTGTACCGAGTACTGTACTTGGTATCTGTGCAACAGAACTTCTTACTTTATCAGCAATGATGATTGAGTGGAGCTAGGTAGTCATATGGCTGTTTTGCTGTTCTTTTGTACTATATAGAAAACATGTAAAATAGTGTTCGATTTAGAACAGTGTGTAAATGCTTACAGCCTTGTATGGTGTATGTACAGTATATGTACAACTTTAAGTACTTTCATTTTATAAATAAAACTTGTGTACTTAGGATGTCTGTTGAAAGTTGGAGTGATTAGTTATTCAATGTAACTCTTCATTGCTAAGTGACATTGTACAGTCTGTACATGAGATCATAGTCCTCTTCTGTCATTTTATTGTAATTTAGCTGTAGCAAAGTCTAATGTTGAAAAAATACTTATTTCGTTTTTTGGGTTTTTTCATGTAATGTCTTATTTACCCCTTGTTGATTTTAATTAGTTCCTAAAGCCTCACTTTTCTTTTCTTTTGTTAGCTAGTTTGTTGTACACCAAAAACACAAATTTCACATATTTCATTAATTTTTTTGAATGTCTTGTATTTAAAAATACAATACAAAATGACACAATACAAAATAAAAATCCCAGCTTCTTTCATTTGTGAATAACTTCAGTGTGTAGCTTACTAGGGACATAATATGAACATTGTAATAAACTGGCTAAGCGGGAGAATAAAATGTGTACTTTTCATATGCAGAAACTCTAGTGGTTTTAAGCTATCACTGGAGCACTGTATCACTGTACAACAAGTTTGGGGTATTTTCTGTATTTTTTAGTTCCTTCTGCTTATCGAAAATAACTATTAAATTAAAATGAAAAGAAAGGCTTGTTTGAAAAAAATGGTGTCCATTGTGGTCTGTTTTTTGTGTTCCTAATATTTTCTCAGCATTTAATATTATATTGTTAGTAACTCTGCTAACCTGTTTTCAACTTACAGCTGACCCAGCGGTGAGACTGGATGGGAGCCCAATCTGCTGCTACTTTAACTTCAGCCCAAAAATCATGTTCACCAAGGTTGTAAAAGCTCAGCTATGGGTATATCTGCGACCTGTGCAGCACACCTCCACCGTCTACCTCCAGATTCTGCGTCTCAAGCCTGTAATGGATGAAGGCAGCAAACACATCCGAATTCGATCTCTGAAAATTGATTTGCACTCACGTACAGGCCATTGGCAAAGCATTGATTTCAAGCATGTACTGCAGAACTGGTTCAAACAGCCACACAACAATTGGGGCATTGAGATCAATGCCTTTGACCCAAATGGAAATGATCTTGCTGTCACCTCTCTTGGTCCTGGAGCAGAAGGGCTGGTAGGTACTTTTATTTTAAAACATTTCTTGATTTTAGTACAAAGCATAGCCAAAGATACTACGACTGGACTGCACCTATTTAGTAAGGTAGCTACATCTTTCATAAAGTTTGCTGTAAGTGCATTTGGCCATGTCTGGTGATTTCAGAACTTAGTTTTCTACTTTGTCTGTTGGGTTTATAAGTGGATACTGTCTTGGAGAAAAAGCTGGGTTTTCCATATTCATGTTCTGATTATTATCAGCTTATCATCTCTGACTGAACCTGAGCAATAAATGGACAACTTTAATATTAAGGTAAAATTAATTGGCAATTGTCAAAAAACCTACAAACAAATTATTAGCATTAGTATGAATGAATCATTTGATGATGATGATAAGTTTGGATAATGATAGTGAATGCATAAAACACTACTCTTGAGAACAGAGATTAAACTCTGGCATGTATAATATGAGTACTTACACACTATTTTTAGCATTTAGCAGTCAGTGCTCTTTTCTAAAAACATAGGACCTATTTACTCAATTAAATCAAATTAGGGAGCAAAAACCACGTAAAGTAGGGCAACTCCAAAAAGTGTGCAGTGCTTCTTTATCTTTTCCACATCTCCAGCAACTGTCAGGCAATAAAGGCTAGAGCTGATTGATTCATGTCGGGACCCTATACCATCTAGTTAACAACTTATAACTAGCTTCTTGATAAAAGTGAGGACTTATGGGTAAGGAAAACAATTTTATCATTCTGTTCAGGAGAGAAAGAGATTCCCAAGTCTGTTTCCCAACAGTAAACAAAGGGTAGCTTCTGCCCTTCCTCTGTAGAGTGAAGGAGATCATATCGTGTTGATATAATAAGTCTGATCGGGCCTTCCTCAGCGCACAAATTTTCAAACGGTGTAGCTTCATTTCTAAATGTCACAGGAGGTGGAAGAAAGCAAAGGTTAATTTTAATAAATCATGAAGTTCTTTTTCTAGACTTGACAAATTTTAAAAAGGTAATGAAACTTACTGAAGCTGCCTACGGAGACAACTAGTGAAGAAAATTGTTATTTTGCTTTCAGTTTAACTTTTTCTTCCTCTCAAGTGTTAACTCACAGTGCTTGTGTAATTAGCTTTGTTTGGTCTTCACTGTCTTGTTAATGTCCCTCATCAGAAATGTATCTTACACATGTTCCTCTTTCTTCATCACCATTGTCATGCATAAGACATTATCTTCTCACAGTTGCGCCTGGCTTTTCACTCCAAATTTCCCACGAGACCTCATCCCATATATCCCCACACACAGGGCTGTGCCGGAGAAGTGGACACTTTGGGTGCTGCAGTGGAAGGGCACATCTGGAACCCTGGACCCACTGTTCCTGCAGGTTACACCAAATCAGTGGCTCTCGTGGTATAATCTGTGGGGCTCCTGTTCTGTGTATCAGGAACACTAACAGCAGCCCCTTCCATTAAAAAGCTTCAATTGTGAGAAGAAAAAAAAGTTTGTTTTAATAAAAGTGTTTGAAACCTTATTAACCGATAGGTAACCCTAACCCTAATTGGTTCTTATTAGGGATGTTCAGATACCAATTACCATACTCGGTACAAGTACAGATACTTTTCAAGTTCCAAGACTAGACTAGAGAAAAATTCAAAACTTAGGAGGCAGCTGTCATTTTGAAGGAGCATACGGAGCTCCTGGGATTTGTGCAACCCTGTTTTAATAAATATTTTTTTTTATATATATTGTAACAAGGACACTCCACTGAAGACCGGAGGTGCAAGTACAATGCAGTTTATTTGCTTTCAAAACGATAGATAACACGAAATCCAACATAAAACTAGTTCTCGTAAAAATGCAAGTATCGGCACTGGTATCTGAACATCCCTAGTTCTTATTATCATGTTATTCATGCCTTCTCATTATTATTATCATGCCTTCCTCCTTTTTTTTTCCTTTAGCTTTTTTTTTGTATGTAAACCATTTTGTACACCTTTGTATTGCCACTTTAAAAAACACACCAAGTATGTTCATTTGTAAATAACTTCACCATGCTTTTTACAAAACTAATTTTAGTGAGAAAGCGACAAAATAAAATAATAGGGACCGAAAACAATGTACATTTTTATGAGCTATACGCTACATTTTCTACTATTTCCTTCTATAGTAAATTTCTATGGATACCACTAACCATCACTACTGTTAAATGCAAGTCATTCCCTAAAAAAAGGCAATAATATGAATTAAAATTATAGTTACGTCCTGAGTGGTGATGTAAAGTCAGAACATAATAAAATAAAATGTAATACTGTAATAATAAAAAAATAACTGCATTCATTTGTGTCTTTTATATCTGTCTGGAGGTCAGCATTAAATATGCTATGCTAAAAACTATTAAAAAACAGGATTCTCAAAGATATCCTTGCACCTTACTTTGGACACTTTCCTAATTGTGGGTTTCCCTCCCCTTTCGGAGACGGGGATCGCGCTAACAGACATACTTTGTGGGTCTATATCTCAGGTGAGCACCCCTCTGTGCACTTGCACTCACCAGGTGAAGATGGTGAAGGATTGAGAGAAACTCTGGGTTGTGGTCTCACAGGCATCTTCCAGATTGTGGATTCCTTTTTGTGTGTTTTTTTCCGCCACTTCTAAGAATTGTATCACATTGAACTCTGATGCTATATTGTTTGATTGATTGGGCTCGTTTTTCACATTTGTATGTTATTTGGATGTTCAGATTCTAGCATGTGACTATGAGTGCTCACTCACTGATATTATCATACTCATATGATTAGTCTTTACACACGTTTATATATATTATTTTATGTTCGATTATTAGCTTGGCACATTAGTGTCCCTATTGGATGATTTTCCCTCTATTTTGGCTAGAGTGGCAACTCAGAATATTTGATGTTTTCCTCCCTTTCAGTCCCAGTGACAAAAGAAACCAGGGCAAATAGAAAGAGGCAATCTCCAAAGTGGGGACACAGGCAGCAATAAAAACCCAATTGGGGTTCTAACTCTTCCCTTCTCTATCCAAAACCATGACTTTAGATACCCTTTAATATAAGTATAAATATATTTGATATTGTTTTACAAAATGTGCCAAAAAGACAGGTAACTCAGTGCGAGGTCAAGAAGATTTCCAAAAACTAAGGTTAAGGATGTACCTGTTATTTGAATTGTGTTATAAATAGCCTCATTGTTACATAAAAAATGTACAGTGCATTTGGTATATAAATGACCCCATCTCCATTAATCTTGTGTCATATTCAGTGCTTGAGTGATATATCCCATGCATTATACTGTGCCATGCTTATGAAGCCCATGTCTCTTATTCCTACAGCACCCATTTATGGAGTTGCGTGTGATGGAGAACAACAAGCGATCAAGGCGAAACCTGGGCCTTGACTGTGATGAACACTCCACTGAGTCGCGCTGCTGTCGATATCCACTAACTGTGGACTTTGAGGCATTTGGCTGGGACTGGATTATTGCTCCAAAACGATACAAAGCAAACTACTGTTCTGGCCAGTGCGAGTACATGTTCATGCAAAAATATCCCCACACTCATCTTGTTCAGCAAGCAAATCCACGGGGATCTGCTGGCCCTTGCTGTACCCCAACCAAAATGTCACCCATTAACATGCTGTATTTTAATGACAAGCAACAAATTATTTATGGCAAGATACCTGGAATGGTTGTTGACCGCTGTGGGTGTTCCTAAGACTTTGGTTCTTTTTCTTCTACCTACTTATCTTCAACTTCTTTCTTTCTCTCAAGGGTACAAGCAGACCAAAATTTGGTATTGGGTATAGTGCAGTCCTTGTGCTATCACTCCCTTTTCAAACCCTAGTTAAGAAGCTAGAGATTTGACACTTTTATATGTCCAAATTCTGCATTTAGTTAAGCGCTTGCAATGACTGCCATTGTCTTTACACATGGCCAATATGACAACACATATTTTTGGGTCCTTATGTAATCGCATAAAAACAAGTTTAGTGGCAGCTCAAATTATGATGTATCATATTGCACTAGATATCAGAGACCTGCCAACAGTAAGGCAGTTTGCAGTGAAAGATAATCCATTTTTACTGGAATCAGCTGCAAATGTAAAAGGTTTGAAGGGGATATATTCATTTCTAAGGTTTACTGCATCAATAAAATGCCTGCAAGTTGTTGGTTGCAAACTGGGGCCAAAAAGATCTGTTTTGCACTTGACAGCTGCTTGTTTTTGTAAGTGACTCCTTATGTTTTCTCAAGTACATAGCGTTGATTGCTTTGTGCTTTATGTTTTACTGCCTCTTCCATAACTGCTCTATACTTCTCTAATCACTGGAAATTCCCTCTTGCCTATGATGTTTAGCAACTCTTCCTTTAAAGGGAAGACTCCAGACTTTATACTCTGGGGTCTGTTGCCTGTATCTACTGCTCTGTGCAATAGAAAATGAAAAGCATAGACTAAATAAAAGGCCCCTTGAAGTATCTCTGTTGGCTAATCATACAGCTTGTTTGTCCTTTCCATTGAATCTCAGTCATATGCCTTACATAGCATATGAAAAGCATGTTTGCTGATGGCATAGGCCAGTGTCCACCATTAGTTAGAGTAAGCTTAAGACTTGAAAATGATATTACTGTTGGTACTCTGTCAAACAAAACAGTTTAGTGCTTGACCTGGATTTTCTTCCTCTAGCAGTGCAGTGAGTATGAAACCACAAGGTATTCTGGATTATCTTGGTGTTAATGCTTCTCAGGGATTGGCCTAACATCAGATTTGAGTGTTGTTCCTTGTTATTTATCTTTCCCTTTTTTAAAAGTTTTTTTTTTAGACAAAAATGTTGCGTAGGACAAAACACATTTCTGAAATCCAGGGACTGCCAGTAAAGATTTCAAGTAGACATCATGGATAAGCCATCATGTTTTAATTTAATTGCACTCTGACCATTTTTATCAGTATTATTCAAACTATCCACATTATTAAAGTCATAGCTGCTGTTAAAACTGACAGTGACAATTAGTTGCTGCTGGAAATTTTCATTGTATTCCACTAAATCCATTCCATCCTTTCTTGTCCAGGATACACAAATTAGATGATGTTGCACCACTTCATTATTAGCAAAAAAAACAAAAACGTTCCAGGTTTGGAAATATAATAGCTTTAAATCATTGATACATTCCTGATTGATCAATGATAAGATAGAAAGAGTCAATGAAGGTTAACTGAATCATTTGCCATCAACATCATTAATAGTTAAAAATAAGCTAGTGCTTGAAGTCCATATTTGTGCTACAATATCCAGTCCATCCTTCACAGTTACTGTTTTAGTGAAGCTAGGAAGACATTTACTCACCACATGAGGAATACATTAAATACATACTGTTATGCCTTAAGAACGGCTACATTTACACATTTGCAGACAGTTCACTAAATTGAAAAAAATACAGAGGAACAAATTCACAGCAAATCTTATAAGAGCAATAACATTTCAGATATTAGTACATGTATGGAATTATAGTGTGAGCAGAAGGGACCTTACTCATGTTTCATATTTCATTAATATAGGGAAGAAAATCATGGACTCTTAGTTTTGGCCTATTGCTATAGGAGAGATCTACCACGGATTTTTCTTCAGCAAAAGAGGTTCAAGAGATCCCCTTTGATATTTGAGGGATCAGTGGCACAATTTGCACTATAGGAGGTCTTTGGACCAGTGGAAGAAGAGATGCCATTTATTGTTCCTGTTTAGTCTCCAACAGGCTCCAGACTTGAAGGGACAGGTTGTCCACATGCTGTACATTCTGTCTAGGAGGCACTGCACTGTAAGCAACCACATGCATCAGAGCTGTACACCCAGGACTACTAGAGGCCCTTCCAAGCTGGGACTTGTTTATGTTTACCTGTGTGAGTGGGAGCAGATTGTAGCAGGTGTATTTAGGCTTGAGAAGAAGGGGTTGCTTTGTGCTGGAAGGTGATTAACTGCCATTAGAACAGCATGAAAACTAATGCCCAATTTAGGAGTGACAATATCCTTATACCAAATGCCATTTAAGCCCTGTGTTGCTGTGCAAGCCTCCACAAACTTTAATGGAGTATATCTGTCACAAACTTGACCTGATTGTGTGTATTCACTGAACAGCCATTGGCAGCTTCAAGCTTTGAGCTTCATTGTAACCATTATCGCTATCATTACATGGTGCTCTTATAGCTACATGCAAAAGCATACACCATTTACTGCACTTGCATTGGGCAGCTGGATACTAGATGGATTGTCTGTCTGTTCTTTCAAAAAAGAAGATACAAGTTGGAAATTTTCTTCTTTGTTGACCTATCCAAATAATATAACCCAACTGACTGTCATTGCTCGATGGCAGAGACTTTGAGGAGCCCGTGCTTATTAGCTGGACATTAGAACCTTTGCCTTATCAATGTGTGTGAATTTATGTGTAACTTTATGATACCTATATCTCCCTTACAGGATTGTTTATGAGAGCTGGTGTGACATGTTCTTATAAAAGGCTTTTGTGTTTAATTGGATGGAATGTTTAATGAATGTTGTTGGTCCTTCTACTCTTGGAGTTCATCCATAAAATGGAGGAAATTTGGTACTGTGAAATTCTATTGTTGCAAACATATATACCTTAAGCATAAACTGTTCCATTTGTATGTACAATTTGATTGATATTATTTAAAATATAAGCTATCGCAGGCACTGTGTGATCTCCAATCTTTGTCTCTCCAGATATGCAGAAATGGTCCATGAAAATGCAAAAAAAGGCTTTTTTTTTTATAATGTAAATAAAAAAATAGGTAATGTATTTAAAGCTATATGCAGTCATATGAACAAAATAACTGAATGTACAATGAATACATCATTTTAAAAAAATTCACATAATCAAATCCATGTAACCAACAGAGAAGTGCTTTGTTTCCCAAGTCATCCTCTGCTTCAAAGAAAGTATATCTAAAGCCCAAACTTTTTTTAGTTATGGAGTGGTCAGAGGTTTTGAACCTGTCAGGTTTTGTATTGTTGTCTGTATTGCTGTATCTGCTAAGGAGATTCACTTTCTTTATCTTGGTGACAACTGTCACATTAACAGTCACACATTTTGTATTGTCACCAAAACTGGAATAACGGAAAAATCTTTCATTGGGGAAACCCGTTTAAGTAACAACTGTCCAATGGGGCATTGTGCTCACATTAGATTTCTTTTCACTTCCTGTTGTGTGTACAGTACAGGAAATAAAGGGAACACTCCCTTATAGGACCCGGTTTACAACAAAAAATAAACAGGGTTTATAACCATTCCATTTTCTATCCAAAATGAAAAAAAAAGTTTGGGCTTTAGATATACTTTACCTATAAATATTTATACAGTGGTTGTTTTTTTAGATCTTCTTGATACCATCAGTAAAATAGTGTAACTTTTTAATTTATGTAACCACTTCAATTTCGACCTGGAAATATAAAGGCGTGCACTGTTGGAAGTCCCTGCGGAATGCATTAAGAAGAATATTAGATAATTATTAAAGTCATATATGGTGAAACTTCTGCACCAGTCAGTGGTTACTCTGCAGTAAATTGGTACCTTCCATGGTATGAATTTCCCAGCATAATTTCAATCTTTGATTTATATGTGTATATATTTGATCACATTCTATCACTATCACTTCCTTAATGACTGCCAGGGGAGAAGGCAGCCATCCTCTGTTGCTGCAGGTGACATCTTAAGAGTATATTGTGTAAATAGAACAGAAAACAAGGTAGACTATCAGGTAACTTTGCATGTTTGTGCTGAACTACCAGCTTGCATTTCTCTTTGGATTCAACAAAAAGATGATAGAATTGTGGCTTCCTACCTGAAATCTGAGCTGACAACTTCCACTGAAGACAGTTATTTCAAAAAGTCTACAGATTATATTTCATCTGTTGCACTACAGCTTTAAATATCTTATATAAACTGTATTTATCCTCTGTTTCATGCATTTTAAGCCTTGTAGTGGCTTATGTGCAGTATTTTGATGAAACAATCAATACCGGGGCGATAAGATTCACCTCTGGTCAAAATATGGATTGTGAGCACTACTGTTATGGGTGACCTTTTCAAGAGTATCAGTAATAAATGACTGGACAAGTTAAATTAGAGGCAATTGCTGAAAAGAGAATACTCACTGAAATTTCTGAAATATTTCTTGCATTTAATACTGCTGAGAACTGTCTTTATATTATTAGCCTTCCTTTTATCCCCTGCACACTAGAACTCAGACTGAGGGAAGGAGATTCAGCGCTGTCAGTATAACATGCTTTTTTACTCAGTAGAAGGTGGAGGGGATGGAGCTTAGGCAGCTTAGGCAGCATGACCTCATCATTGTGATGGTGCTCCTTCATGGTCCAATCAGCTGGCTGAGGATGTGGAGGAAAACAGGCTTTATTGATTACCTGTTTTGGTGAAATGAGGTCTCCTATCTATGACACATTGCAGAGGTGTGTGGATTACAAGATGTGGCTATTACACGTGTTTTAGCAGGTAAACTTGATATTTACATTTTGGTTGATGTTTAGCTTTAATTTTTTTAATGTTCTGGAATCATTTATGTCGTTAATATTACAGCTTGATAATGGCGAAGTTACAGTCAGATGGACCTCCTTCACATTGCCATTTGCCGGTTCTAAACACTGGTGTTTTTCAACCATTAAATATGGCATATCTGCGTTTTGAATGAAGGGTGCAATTTCCTGTTTTTAGCAGTCCAAATTCTTTTTCTAAACCTTTTGGTATTATATATAAGTAGAATGACTGTATTTCTGTTGGTAGGGGAGAACAATTCAGTCATCAGGCTCCTCATGCTGTGTATAAATGGTGTTACTTAAATATGTTTGTGTGCTTATTATTGTAAAATTCTTAAGTCATAGCACCAGCTCCTCCGTTTTTATAGACTTTGTTTTGTACAATAAAGTGCATTAATGTAGCCTAAATGTAGTCTTTTTGCCTTACTTTACACAGCTAGGTTATGGAACTATGAGCAACATACATGCAATAAAACAAAGGTCAGGAATGGGCATTGTTGAAGACATTCAGAAGTTCAGGGTAAAAACAACACTTCATGCAACAGATCACACATTTATATAGAGGCAGTGAACCATCGGATCAAACCTGTAGCCCTGTATTACAAGACAGACTGACACATAGTTAGGTAACAGCTGTAGGTACCTGCACATGTATTTGATCTTTTAGCAGAAAGCAGGGTGCTTTGGAAGGGAAGCAGCAATGTGTGGTTGCCGGCTCTAGCCCATTCCTTTCGCACATCGCGCCCTGCTATAGGTCCATCAATAGTATGGCTGGCTTTAATAACTAGAAGTAGGGCATCGGCGCTAGAAGGAAGAAGAACAGAGCCAGTGACCACGGTTGCTTTTCTAGGGTCAGGAGTTAGGGACCAGAGTATTTAGGGGGCAATTTATACTCAGATCAAGACAAAAGTCATAATTAACAACAAAATTGCTATTTTAACCCTGATTTGTGTTTTCTCACATTAAGTACCTTCTAAATGATTTTATTTAGAAGCAAAAAAATTGGGGTAGGTGCAGAATAGCTAATGTTTTACATGGAGAAGGGATATAACTGTAAAAAGTGTTTTTTTTATGGATTGTTATTTTATCTTGAATTGTTAGTGTATCTCACAGGCATTATTTTGCCACCACCACAAACAGATTATTTTTCTGCTCTCCTCAACATAGATCGTGGTATAAAGGTTATTGCCATCCTTAAGCTAGTGGGTTGTTACTGTGTATATTACCGAAAAAAACAAAAATTTAAAATGTTGCAGCTTACCAGTCCTCAGATGTGGTGGCTGCGTTAGTTCTCATTTTTCAGGACAAAAACATTTTCAGCAAGTACAGAAAATATCCATGGATATTGCCAGAAATGCAGTGTATATGTAATTTCCTGTGAGCTGAAAAAAACTGCAAATATTCTTATCTTTCTTGTTTAGTCTGCAAGAAAAAAACCTGAAAAACATTAATGCAACCACCTCATCCAAGGACTGGTAAGCCGCAACATGTTAAT